AAAAAGAATCCGTGGAGGTATCATTAACATTGCTGAAACCTATCATTTTCTTGTGACTCTCCAGTCATCTGTTTTATGTGGCTTTCACAGAGCCTGAAAGTCTCTACTTTGTGATGTTTCTTCTTGCCTTTAAGAGTCAGCAAAGTGAGAAAAATATCTAGAAGTAAAATACTTTTAATGCTGTAGCATTTTCTTAGGGAATGAAGAACGAGCCATAAACCCTCCTCTCTCTGAGAGGTTTATATTACAAGTATACTAAACTCACACTAGAGTTTCTAAGCAAAGGAAAATTTTCTTATGAATTTACTCCAGATTTACACTGTTACATCTCCTGGGAATTAAGTTCTTGAGAACTAGCATAATGCCAGAATAATACAGTAGTGACTGGGGCTTAAAGCTTGCTATCAAAATCCCAAACAGAGGACAGTGACCTTCCATTCTGCACAGGGAATTCTCCAGATGTCAATAAGCTATGCTGTGACTGCAGAGGTAGTTGGCTTGGTTCTATGTATGCTAGTCTAAGCAAGTTAATAAGCATGGGATCACATTAGTTCTTGAAAGAGAGGCTTAACCTGGATTTTACCTTTAAATTTTTCCAAAATTTCTTCCTCTTAACAATAAAGAGCTGTGACAAGTTCAAACTCACAAACTTTAGTCAAAACCTAACAAAGGTTCTGCCTAAAGACCAAATCTCTCATCAATCTCCATAAAACCCAGTGCAGACTTCTCACGCTAATCCAAACAGATCAGAGTAATCTTATTATTATTCTAAAAGATACAATTAAACAGAAACTACAGGAATCAGAAGAGCAGTGCAACTAGTTAAATTATTTAGAAAATTCATATAGGCACAGAGAAAACATCTGTGAAAGAAAATGAAATAATCTGTTCAGGATATTTTGGAACACCAAAAGTGAATTTCAGCTACTGACAGTTACAAATTTTCCATTACGCTCAGTCATACTTTTATAAATCTCAGAAATAATTTCAAAGGCATAGGAATAAAAAGTAAAATTTTCAGTGTGAAAATTAAAAATCCAGGGTTGTGTTCCTCTGGACTTGTTATTCCAAACAGCCTGCATCCTATACAGTGCATTCCAAAATGCACTCCAAGATGACCAAAGACAAAAAGCAATGATGAACTTTCATAACAAGCACAGAAATCGACTCTATTCCCTCTTCGATTTTAGGACTACTTCATTTCAAAACTCTCTGAAAGATACAAGTAAGACAGGACATGCAAAGCCTGTGCTTTTACTGCTATGCAATAAAAGCATAATGAGCTGATCGTGTAGGGCCTGATAGAAGCTCACCAAAGTCAAAACAAGCCTCTCTGTTGATTTCAATGGCTTTTATACCAGGCCCTTAAAGAGACTGTTAAAAGCAGCTGAATGAGATTTTGGCTAGGTATCATCACACCCACCCTGTTTAGATGATTGGTATTTATTGGTGATTAGGCAAATGCATTTACACATGACACAGCAGAAAACACAAAGTTTGGAAAAAGCACTTTGTCAGTCAAAATCACTTGCCTGGGGTTAGACAGTTAAAACTATTAAGCACTGGCTGCTAATTCCAGCCAGTTAAATGCTGTTGCAAATGAAAGATGAAGCATTGCATGAAGCCATGCTAAAATGGATAGAAGGATGGTTACTTACCAACGGGGCGAGCTGTTGACATTACAATGGTGTAGTGAGAACATAAAAAAGAAATTAAAAAAAGAAAAGAATATCTGTCAGAATGCATGACGTGTAATGTTACCTTCTACTATGGATACTACCATGATTGCTAACCCCTCAAATGACAGCCTAAGTACAATATTTACTGTTGTTGCTTAGTCACGTGCCACTATTATCACATTTACTTGAGCATAGCATCTAAACAAGCTGACTGGAACCATTCTCTGAGAAGCATTTTTAGTATCTTCACATGCCATCATCAAGTATCATTGTTAATGCCTGATAAAAGAAAAATTGCATTGCATTAGCACAAACTTTCGGACCAAGATGAACACATTAATTTAAGCCCCAGACTGCCAAATGTCATGCCAGTAAATGCAAGGTGTTTGCTTTCTGAGTCAAATACCAATTGAATTTTAAGCATGACCAGTCAGTACAGCAGTAAGGGCTACAGAAAGCCCAGGACAGTTTTTCTCATTCAATAAAGGGCGTGAAAGTTTACAGCACACTGCTTTTTCCTCACTGACAGTGCTGATGAAAATATAACAAATAGGCTGAAATGGCCGCAGGGATTTCAAGCCAGAACTTCCCAAATCACTGCTTAGATAACTTCTACTTCCTAAAAACATTGCTGCTAAATGATCGACAGTTTAATACTGTTTCAGGCTGATACAAAGATTGAAAGCTGCTGCTGCTGCTGCAACAAGTTGATTTCTTGATTATAGCAACAGCCCTTCATTATACTTGTGCTCGGGAAGAGGCCTGTCAGTCCCTCTGTTAATAAAATAAAGACATCCCCTTTCAGAAGAGCTGAAAAGTTGGACATAAAATTGACTCCAGGTTGCAACTGTGTAGGCAAAACTTCCCTTATTTCAGCAGCAGAAGTAGCTACAACATTCTGAGCAACAGCACAGGGATTTCCCCCCACACCTTTTTCTTTTTAATAAGTTTACCAGCTCTATATGCTTATGTGCAGGCTAGGGCCAAATGCAATATATGCAGATGCAAAGGTAACACAGTATGCAAGGACTTTCTTATTTTTCAGCCTTTCTATGGCTTTATCTCTACTTTGCAATACCCACTTTGTTTAACTATCTCAAGCCTGCTGCCCCTTATCATCCCATCATCTATTTGAAGACTTTCTGGCTTCTGGTATTATGGACTTATTCCTTCTTCTGCAGAGAGATGGGGAATAAGGGTGAATATGCATCTTTCCAAGACAGGGCATGAAGGCTCAGTCACAGAATTCAAATTCTGTTGTTGTTTGTGCCTCTGTAACACAAACTTCCTGACTGCATCCTCATCCCTTGGCTTTGAGAAGATGGAGCCATGCATGAAGGAGCTAAGGATTATGCTGTTGTTGCCAGGTTTGCAGTAGTAACTACATAACACCTGCAAGGAGCAAGGTGCCCTCAAAGTACATTCTGAAATGCTACATGGTTTTGCTCTTCTGCATGTCAAGCGGTTACGGTAAAAGTGCTTTCGGACAAAACTGGCAAAAGTTTAAGAATTTATAATTAAGGCTTCCTCTAACTAAAAAGACTGTTGTTTGTGGTCCTGTTAAAGTCAATGTGAGTTTGCTCAGTCCTTTGTTTTCAGAAAATTCAGAGTAATAGCCTTCTATATTGAATTTCTTGTTTTTTTTTTTTCTCATTTTCTGTCATATTCTGAACATTTAATATGCTTATAATATTGTGGTTTCTTTTGTGTTGGATAAACACTATCTATTTGACTGTAAATGAGAAACCCAGGGGGGTGGTGAAGGGGGGAGAGTATCCAAGATAATGAAAACCTGCTTTTACTGCAGGAAAATCGATTAAATTATATATTTCCTCAGGTTTTTTTCACCTTAATTTCATCAAGTTCAAGCTTCAGTGATTTCAAAGGATTTTTTGCTTGGTTCTAGCTATTGTTTATATCACAACTCTTGGTAGCAAATCTGCAAGGCTTGCTCCAGTATGTAAAAAGTAGACACAAGCCTAGGAGCGTATAAAGTCCAGTGAATTGGTTGCCAGGTTTGTCGGATACCATGACTGTGCCTGTGACAAAATAGAGTGAGAGTATATCTGGGAGTTCCCTGCAGTGACTATTTTTCTTATAATACATAATGGAAGAACAATTTCTTACACAAGCATATAGCAGGTAAACCCATTTCTTCAGCTTAAAATGGGAAGAGCTGCATTATCACTTATTGTCTAAAGTGAACACTGAGGTGATATTTTAGGAGATGGATTATCACAATAATCTTTTTTCTTTGTTATATACTAACATCTCCCCCCCAGCAAAGCCACTCGGTTCTTTTTTTTTCCCCTTTGAATTCAGCAAATTAAACTGAACTGTGTCCATGCATTAAATGGATGGAAATGGAAGCTGGCCTCTTGGGTCAGTTGACCCCAGTTCTAATAAAGCAATCCATTGAGACTTTGAACATTTGATTTAATGTGTATGAAAAGAGGAGGACAGATAAAGCTAAAAATGTTTTTATTAACCTTTCACAGCTCTACTGAAAACCATCAGCATGCACCACTAAACTGTGAAATAGTGTCTGCATGATATCCATTGTACCAAATTGCTGCTTATCTTTTGCAATGAAGTAATAACTATTATATTTTATTTACTCATATGGAAATATTAGTCTAGAAACTTTTTCTTTCCCTGTAATCTTTAACATGTCTATATCTACTGCCACAAAAGACATTTTGGCAACTCATTATTCTACCGGTCTTAAAACCTGCTCACATCAAATAGCAGCACATAAACAATGAGTGGATATCAGAGACCAAGAATATTTTAGAAGAGAACAGGTTAGTCTTTACCTTGTAATACTTACAAAATTTAATTAGAATTTTCTTTTCCTTTGGCTAGGGTTCATCTTTCAGATAAGGAGTAACGGCAGAGAGTTTAATTATGGCAGAGCTAGTCACATAAACACATCTGCACTATGTTTGCCATTAATAAACATGGTTACTTACTATATTCCTTATACTGACTAGAGAAAGAATAATACCCTAAGCTGATGGCTCACATATTAAAGTCTATGCTCACAGTTATGTGGTGCTTGCTTATGCATATATATGCATCTGTTCAATAAAAAACAACAACATTGGAACAGCTCTTTAACTGCAGGGAGATTCTATCCTACTGGAGCCAGTTCAGATTTTGCTGGAAACACAAACAGGACCAGGATTTCACCTTTGTTATAAATCAGTGCATTTCAGGCAACGGCAAAGGGTATGTGAAACCCAGACAATACCAGGTAAGGACATGATCCACTTCATTAGAAAGCAACTTATCCATATAGGGGACAGGCCCTCCCTCCACAGGAACACTCACCTCGCACAGTGAGGGTAGCAGAAGCTTCCACTTTTCCAACTCGATTCTCGGCAATGCATGTGTAGGTTCCTTCATCTGTGCTCATGGCCTTCTTAATACGCAAAGTATAGTCATCTTTGATGTCATACCTGCGTTACAGAAAAAGAATGAGAACACTCTCTCTGGACAACATTAATGAACAAAAACTCTCACCTGGAACATGCCAGTCTGAATCTATCCTGGAGCCAACTTTGGAAGATGAATTATTATCTAGCATTAGATAATTCCACCAAGCATTAATCTTCATGACATTTTTATTGCAGTCTGCATTAGTTAAAAACTTTACATAAAATTAGTATTGCTATGTTCACTCAGTATTAGGGCTTTATTAATAATATCATTCACTTTGTCCTTGATCTAGAGCAATAAGATAAAATTAAGCTATCAGACATCAGTTATCAATACATGACAGCTCAGGTTTATCATGCCTTTAACTATGTGAGCTATGCTTTTTACCTTTTGCTGATTTGGAAATTTCCCTTTATATATAGTTTCTCTCTACAGCAGCAACCCCATAGGGACACTGCAAACATGTTGGTAGGATCTGACACTACACAATTACAAACAATAAAAAATATATTTAAGCTCTGGAAGGTGACATTTATTGAAGAGGAACATAAAAGGAGATTTATCAATTTCACGAAATGATTCATTAAGGGTGGACAATGACATTTTCTCTTAAAATAAATCAGAAATAATTCAGTTATGCTTTGTCTGTTTTTTTGTTGTTTTTTTTGTTGCTATTGCTGTAATAATTCTAAAACTATGAAGATGTATAACACTTGAAATAATACAAAGTACTTCAGCATGCAGTGAACATTCATTCTCGAAGCATTTAGAGCGCTTACACCTAGAAAAATATTTTCAGTTAAACTGTTATTATCCTGTACAAGTCATGCTTACATTTTAGGCTCTAACAAACTATTGTAGGCTCTGATCCAAAGCTCATTTATGTCAATGGGAGACTTTGTCTTGTATGAAATTTCTTTGGCTTCTAAATCAGGAAACCCCTGTTTTTCAGCACTGATATTTTACTCTTGAAATACTTTCTTGTAAAATTATTTTCACCAACATTTCTTCTAGACATAAGCCCATGATACTTCAAGTCACCTTGGACCTAGAGTTAGCTTCGGATTCTCATGCATTAAACAGTGAAATTGAATATGAAACTAAAGAGATATCTTTACTGCAGGAGATGTCAGTACTCTTTCTCCCTGCATACACACTTATGACATAACTTCAGAAGAATTAATTTACTTTCTCTATGTTATACAGTAAAGAAGACCTTGTAGACTTGTTCAGCAAACGTACTGAAATCATATGGAAGAGCACCCTTAAATGTTTTGATGAATAAGAATGCAGCGCAGCTAGTTACAGGAATGTTGTAAGCCTCTATGATTATTTTTAAATGCTTATTTCTGTGTACATAATACACATTGCTGTTGGTTCCTGTAGGATATGTTTGTAGAGAGAGCACTGTGTGGTAACAGAGTTTAAAGCATCTTAACTCAAAGGATACTATAAGTTGAAACATTTAAAGTTCTGTTATGTCTAATTAAAGCTCACAACATCAATTAGAGCATTAGTAGCAATTCTAAGAATAAAGACAAGTCAAGACATCTTTTTCACACTCACCACAATACATCATTCCATATTCACTAAGTACATGCTATTCATTAGCAAAACAAAAACATTTAGAAAGACCAAACTGAGGTCAACCATTCCTGTCAGAGATAAGCACAAACACATATAATACCTTTTTGTTAGGAGTTACACTTAATCACATGTAAATGCAGTACCTCAGGTTTAACTAAGGAATAAGAGACATGCCAAGGTGAAGAATAAGCACATGCCATGGCAAATGTTTAGGGACAATTTTTTTTGCTAGTGTAGTGACATTGAGGGGGATAGCGGAGAATACTGGAGAACTTACTGTGCAGTGTCTGGAGCAGTACAGATCTATTACAACTACATTCAACAGCTCTATGCAGTTGAGGAACATTTCTTCTTGCCTGCTCACAAATTATGTCATTTTGCATGCTGTGCTGCACCAGTCAATGGCAAATAGAAATCACTGTTTTCATAAGACAGAAAAGGCAAATTGCCTCCCTTAAAAATCTCAAGAATATGACAACAGTACCCCACAACGATGGAGCAGTTATTTGCCTTGGGCGACCATAGAATTGCAGCAAGAAAAAATGGTTATTTTCTTGACATGAGGCCAGCCCTAGGGGACTAGAAATATAAAGTTGCATTCAGCTCCTGTAAGATGAGAAAACTGAGATCTGTTGTAATATAAACATGAGCTGGATATAGGAATCACAGCTATAAACCTGGACAACAATTAGTCATTGATTTCATTGCTTTTCTTTGGGACAAATAACATCCTTGTGTTTCCCTTACCACTGCCGAGAGAAAACCAGACGGGCAGTGGGACTGAACCTGAGTGCTTGCTTGAACTGGGATGCAGGCAGCCTGGGACAGGGCCCTCCAGTCTGTTGCTGGGCTGCAGCTGACTCGCTCTTCTTCATGTCACCAATGTGCTGGTGCAGGCATGCCAGCCAGCTGCCTTGGAGGCTTCGGCAGCCTTTATGTCTGCACCTGCCAATCATGCACATTGTGCAAAGGCTGCATGGCATGCCAGGACGCAGAGCCGGTACAGCCATCATCTTCCTGTTGGGCCGTGAAACAGAGGGTGGCGTAAACATGTCACTATTTCAGGCCAGTTATCAATTACTTCAAGGACAGGTCCAGCTCTTCTGGTTTGCTCCTCCAACAAGGCCATACTGGGATATTGGACCACCCTGACAGAACATGGCATCTAGCAATTAGATTCATATATAGATGGACCCATGGGACATTATAACCATCTGCTGTGCTGAAGTATTGAAACGCTGCCCCTCAGGCATCTGTTCCACCCACGCTGTCCCCAGAAGTCACCACGGTTCGGTGAAGAGCTTTGACAGATGAAGCAGGAAGGAAACTGGCTTTTAGCCTGGTCCGCAGCAGCACAAGGGACTTGTGTGAGAAAGGGACCGTGAAGTAACAGGGAGTGAAGCCTGAATATGTTTTCAGTTTCTCAAACATCCATCTTGAAGAGTGTTTCGTCTCTTCTCTTCCCCAGAGCTTCCTATTCCCATAGCAAGATGCTTCTACCTGAGTTTGTGGAGACGTTCAGTCTCATCTGGATTAGTGATACTGAACACTTGGGAATCAGGATCAGAGCCTCTCTGACTGCTAATCCCAGTCACAGAGAGATATTACCAGACTCTTGGACTGATGATGGAATGGCAGAAAACCAGGGTTTACTGGTTAAGTTGGTCCTTAACTCTGACAGTGCACTAAGAAGGTAATGCCTTCAGAATATGTGCAGTGTCAAGAAACACCTTCTGACACATTGCCCAAATATTGCTGACTCCTAGCCAATTAATGCCAACATTCAGCTAAAAACACAGGGTGTCAGACACCAGTTCCACATGTTTATGGCCATCTAACTGATTTTAAGTACTTCTCTTTGCTAAACATTTGGAGGTGCTTAACCTTTTGGTTCAGCTCAGACTTCAGCCATCAGACTGAGCTGGGAGAGGTCTTTCAAACAGCCTTTAGATACAAACCAGCCACTTTTGGGCACCACGTTACATAATTCCTCTTCTACCAGTAATAGTTAGAGCAGGTCTGCTTTTAATTAACTGAGAAGGAAGGGGTGGGCAGGGAACTGGAAAGGAAAAAAGAGACAGACAACAAGCAGATGAGAAAACACTGCTGGTGAGGAAATTCTAATAGAAATTGGGTGATTTTGAGTGAAATCTGGCAGTTTCTGGCACATATGAATGCATTCATTGTTGCTGGTTTTGATTAATGACAGTTGTACAATAGTATGCTGACAGTCACTGCCATACAGACGCAATTTTTTTCGTATGAAACACTGCTGAAAATGCAACCCAATCAGATTTGGCCCCTGAACAACATGTGCTATCATCACTGTACCGTGAATTGAGATTGATTGGTAACCAGCTGTGACAAAGTGGGAAAAAGAGCCTTGTCTTTTTGCAAGAAAAGAGGAAAAATAAAAAACTGAATTGTGTCAAAACCATTGCCATCTGCTCAACCAAATAACACAAAACAACAAAACACATTAACTGTTTTTAAGGATATCAAATTAATATCCTGAGGTTGGATTCATTCATTGGCTTAAGGATCTAAGAATGCTCTTGAATTGAACTGGTTGTCACAGTTATAATTTTCCCCCCACCACCCATTCAAAAGTGATCTGTCCATACTCAGTCACCATTCTTCCATGGTTATCGAATAACAAAAAGATAAATTACTGAACTTAGATAGATTTAGCAATGTGCTGCTTTGCATTTGGTATGCATTTTACTGAGTGCTTCACAGAACCCCTGCATTCCCAGATTGTCAAAAATGTGCATGCAGCTATGCATAAAAATACATTCATCTCTTTATCTTTCACATGCACAGGTAGCAAAACTGTGTCTGCAGCTGGAGTCATCAAATTCCTAGATATCCAAGTAGGTCCAACTGGTAATACAAGAAAGTACTTGCTTCACCAGTGTATTTGAAAGCTGTGAGAAGGCATTACTGAATTTAACAAATCCAACTCAAAAAGTCGTATTTCCTGCTACAGGAGTTTACAAGAGAAAAACGTCGCATCTTAACTGTTGCAAACTGGCTTCAATAAAATGTACATCGATTTATACCGGGCCCCTATTTTCTTCTAAAACATTACTTCAAAATAAGTAAATAAAAGAATAATCTTTGTATATAGGCTTTGCAGGCTTCCTTTTTTTTAGGGATGGCACAAAAATGACTTTGCTCTATTTTCCTTTGCCTGTTTGCCAGGCAGTTTTGCAAAACACGCACAAAGCTCCAAGATTACTCACAACATAAATGATTAGGGAGTCCAAACAGAGAGATGCTACCGGCCAAAACCAGAGTAAACAGGAGGTAGTTAAGGAGGCTTAAGCTTCTGTCTCCACTTCTCTTTTGTGGTGCTGGCACTTCAGCTCCCAGTATAGTGCCACAGCTTTTCACTGGCTCCTAGACTCTGTGCCAGATGGAGGGAGCCAGA